AGAACTTTATTTAGATGGATCGTACAAATAATGAGTTGTTGATGCAGTGAGCGTTTTCTTGTAGTGTAAGTAGTACCATTTAAGAAACCTGGAGTTCATATCGCAAAATGTTAGTACTTTAGAAAAAGAACGTACTTTTAAAATAATAAGTTTTTATAATAATTAATTAACTAGTAGTTCTACAGAATGGTATAGACATTCCCATATTAGTTTTCTATTTTCTTTGCTCCCGGATAACAACTCGGACTTTGCCACTTACTCTTCCAAGCGGACATCCGCCGCTCTCCAAAATACATTTTTTGATTTTTTAAAATTTTTTCGATTTTCTAATACTAGAATGGAAATATTATTTTAAGAATATTAAAGAACAGTAAAACCTCGTCGTAAATGGTAATTTTCTTCGAAAAATTTGGAGCCATTTTAACAAACCTGGCGTTTAAGCGTTACTGTAAATTCGAAATTTGAAGTTCTTTTTCTCAGAAAACTTTTGAGTCTTCGAAAAACTTCAGAAATAATTAAAAGTAATTTAACTAAAATTTACAAATTTCTGGAAATGTGCATTTGAACGGCGTTAGAGATCATTCAAAACAATTTCATTTTTGTAATTTTTGAGAAAACAATAGAAAAACCCAAAATAAACTTTGTCATATTAAAAAGTGCAATTAGTACTATCCGTTCGATAAGGGTGAAGAAAAACCGCTTAAAAATAGCCTATTTTGTTTGCAATTAAATAGTTGTATTAAGAATTTATTGATTTAATTTTCCCTTAATAGAGTTCCTTTATAAAGAGTTTTCTGGGGAAGGAAATTTTTTCAGAAAGTAATTTTGAATTTCTGTAAGATAAATAAAAACTACAAGTAGTACATGTGAAATTATTTCAACCTACTCTCGCTGTCGTTCAAAAGAAGCGGAAAAATCGTTCTGCATCCTTGGTTTCAGTTTGTGCTGCGCTCTGACGGCAAAAGTCAGAAGCTACTGCGGCATTTCTCTTATTAATGGCGTATTCTTCCTTTTCTTTCTGTAATGCTGTTGTTTATAACTCAACAACCACTGAAGTCTCCCTAAGAAAAACTGGAGGTCTTCGAAATATGCTTCATTTTTAATTCATGAAGTAACCAAGGAAGAACGTTCCGAGCAAAATATTCCGACAATAAGCTTCCGCATTTATAATTTCATTGTTGTAAAATAAGAAGCATCATTCTTAATGAATTTATAACCCTGTAGATTGCAACATTTGCATACACACTCTCTTATAATCCATTATTTTTTCGTCGACATAAAACACAAGGTAACTCTGAAGGTCGTTGAGTAGGAGACCGGCTGTTACACGCGTTACATGGTCGCGCATCGATGTCACCGCTAAGAACGTTGTCAACTATGCATTGTCTATTGCCATTCCTTTGTGCAAGGAAGCAATTTGCTTCATTAAATGTTTGTGCGTAGGGAGAACCTAAATGGATTGTTCTTTACGTATAAATTTATTTTAATTATAGCTTGCTTACACAGTAAATAATTACAAAAGTAATACTATTTTATTGATTCACAACAAACTGAAAGAATGCACCCTGTGATACGTGGATTAAATAAAAGTATACAATGTGTTATATTGCAATGTCTGGAAACTGTACCTACATTAAGAAACGAGTTATGAAGCACGCACGCACCTTTCGTTTCGTAAGTATTGAAATAATTTATCTCCGTACATAATCCACATTACGTGAATGCATTATGATTTCATGTGTTTCATGAATCATGTGAAAAAAAGTGAGTTTTGTTAGGGTCAATGGTAAGGAACTTCATCAATACACGGGGTATTTTTTGTTCGAAATGTTCACCTTTATATGAACGCCTATTTCTGTTGCATTAATAATCATCAGGGTTCAGATCCAGTGGTTCGTTTTTTTTGTGGGGGAGGGTGCATTATAGATTTTTCCTAAATAATAAACTTATCTGTTATTATATTCTGTATTATTCTAGTGGTGTGTATATGATACTAAACACCATTTTAAATTATTTCTTAATAACAAATAAATCTTTAAATCAAATTTACCACATAAAGGAAGGTAACAAACGAAAACGCTAGACCTTTTGTTGAATGGGGCGTGGCCCCCATTCTCCCCTCTTCCCGGATACGCCAGTAATAAACACACTGTAACACAAATTCTTCGATGTACTCGTAGTTGGTGACCACTAGCAAGCGCGCTTGCAGATCGCCAGCTACATAACCCACGTGACTCGCCAGAGGGGTGCTTGCGACATGCTCCGCACGGAATTCGTTTCATAATTGCGCGCGTGCTCATGGTCCTCCCGGCAGCGCGCCAGACCGCCGCGGCCCCTGGGGAGGGGGTCGTCCAGGGAGGGGGACACGGCGCGGCCCCCTGCCCCCTGGGGATCCTCGGTGGCCCCCCATGCTCCCGTTCGGCCCCCACGGCGCCCGTCGGCGGTGGCTCTTGCCAAGAGCTCGTTGCTATTGTGTGGCGTCACGGCCCTCCTGGGAGAGAGATCACAACGCATACCTCTGCAGACGCCGCTGGTTCCAGCAGGCCGTGGCGAGTCCCCGTAGAGAGCGGGCTCGTCGCCACCGCTCCGCTGCAATGTGAATTCCGCTCGTAAGTGGCTCTGGGAGTAAACAGGACGTCGAAAACATCAATGGCTCTCTCAATAAGCGACAACGCAGTGAATGCTCTGTGCTTGGATGTACTATTTGCGTTTGCGAAAAGAAGCACTTAAAATTGAACAATCCCTACGTGAGAATAAATGATAAATTGGCTGGAAAAATAACTTATGTTCCTTTAGAAATTGTACAGTGAACTGTTTTTTGAATTACTAATTGGAACGGAGCCATGATAGATCACCAAGAGTATTTTTCGACGAGACACAAATTCTTTCTGATGTAATATCATATGTTGTAAATAAAATTGTTTTATATACGTTTATAATCATACAATTTATCTACAAATCCACCTTACATTGCATTTATATATATATATATATATATATATATATATATATATATTTGTTTTAAAGATCTTAATTCTAAGAATTTAAATACAGTTTATAGGGATTATACATAATATATAATAATGTAAACAACTGCAACATTGAACAATTGTAGGCAATTTTTATGAGACGACCAATTTGAGAAGTTATGTTGCAATAAAAAACTGAAGGATTGAATTGAAGTTAACGTTTTCTTGAATTCGGAGACCCTATTGTAACGTTTTCAGTTCCAAATAGTGTCAAGAGAAGAATTTTAAATGCCACTAAAATTGTTCATATTTGGGCTGTATCTTAATTATAATACATTGCGACCAAATGTTTACAAGAATTAAATGAATATCATTGCATTATTTTCTCATAAAATCATTGTACAACAACTAACAATATAGACCCACAAAAAACTCTTAAAACAAGTTTGATAGAATCGTACCACAATAATTTAAGGATTAAGAAAAATGATACAATGATAATGCAACGATTCTAGCACAATCAATAGTAAAAGACAATGTTTGGGTGTCTTTCATTTACTTAAATGTTAACATTTCATTGCATCGAACCCTCCTCAGTCTTTTAACATTCTCCTTGCACTTGAAGGAGACATATCTTTGAAACAAATTAAATTAATTGGTTTAGAGAAACACTGAAAGCAATAGCTGGCAATGCATAATTGCATTGCATTTCATTAAACACTTTCGTAACAGGGGATATGATAATGTAACACTTATTCCAGAAATAAATTGCCAATGTATTTTTTAAACAAGCTTGCTTGTAAATGTAGTCTACTAGTGAATATAGCGTGCTTCATGAAATAAATAGCATATGATGTAACATTAATTCTAATGACCTGGTAACATTTACATACAAATATGCCACAAACTGCAGTACTTAATATATTTTTAAGAAGATACTTTTTTCACATTAATGAATCACTGAAATGTGCACCATATACAATATCTTTAACAATCTTCTTGAGCACTTCAGAATTACCAATGTTATTCATAAACTATGCATCGTAAATTTTTTATATTATTTTAGAAAAAATCTGAAAAATTCATATTTCCGATCAACAAATTTCCTGGGTGTAGCTGTAAAATTGTTTCTATCAAATTAAACACAATGAAAGACTTTTGCAATTTTTCTTTGTATGAAGCTTCACGATAAAAGTAAATTAGTTCATTTCATTCTTGTAAACACTTTAAACACCTATTTTGAAAACATGTAATATGTTCGCGAAAGAATTACATACGAATTTAAAAAATTAATATACTATGTTCCCACCGATATGCATTTGTGATGGATGTTAGTTATCTACAGTTTTTCTATGTTCAAGAGCGCAAACTTCAAATTTTTAAGTTATAGCCTACAAGGAAAACATTGTAGAATATTTGCTTGCCACTATAATTATGCTGTTTCTGAATCCTGGAGAAATAGCATAATTACAGTGCATCAAATATTTTGAAAGTTTGAAATAATTTGACGAAAATTGTGCTTTGCAAATTTATCAGATCTGTTGCAAAACAATATTCACAAGATATACTATACAACAACGCCGGACTTGATATTTCCGATAAATTTGATATTGACAATTAATGAAACAATAATGTGACTGTCGGATGTGACGGCATAGGAAACGCCAAAGATATGAAACACGAAACTAGCGATCTAACAGGAAATGGTATTGTCACAATACAGTAGTATCTTGTGACGCAGCAGTGGTATGTGTCTCAGAGCATCCGCACTACTCCTCAAGAGTTAATAGGTTCTCATCAGCGGGCTCATTTGGCGTCCAGTGTCCCATTCACAGACGGCCGTGGCGACCTCGGCCGCAGGGCCAGCCAGCGTCTTACGCCGCACTCTGGCGGTGGTTGCCGGCGGCAACGGCGGCGGCCTGCAAGAAAGGAATCCAGCCCCCTCCGCCAGGTGGTGGCGGCGGCGGCGGCGGCGGAGGAGGGAGAGGCCCATCGCCGCCGCCGCCGCCGCCACCACCGCCACCGCCACCGCCACCGCCACCACCGCCGAGGCCGCAGCTCCGTCGGCCACCCGCCAGTCGCGTCCTACAGGTGCACGGAGAACAGACATGCTGGTGAACAAGTGACGAACTCTCTCGTTTCCATACCCGGCCATCTTAGCTGCTTAGTGGAGGAGAGTGTGGCGGAGTGTGTGAACGGCCGGCGACCAGTGTTGTGTGCTCCGTCGAGGTAGTAGTACACTCTTTTTCGTTGTGCTTCATCTGTCCGTGGGATCCCGACAGCTTCAAGATGCCCTGCTCAGCCGTCACTTTGTCTTTAGCGACGATAACTGCCATCGTAGCAGTGGCGTTGTTGGCGATTGCCTTCTCCACGGACAACTGGTTGTACATTGAAGTGAAGAGGGCGCAAATACATGTAAGTATACTTCTAAATCAATTTAGTGCAGCTGGAAAATATTTTGGCACTTCCTTTGTTTGGAATGCGAGTTCAGTGCGATTACAGTTAATTTATTTCAAATACAGAGCAAACATTGAGCATTTTCCAACATTTTTTCAATTTCAAGGTATTTGTACGAGCAATAGGGAAAAATCTAAAGTCCCGTTTTCCTCAACTTGTTTGCCTTCAGACATTTAAGTGACGTAGTCAACCGCAGTGACCTTTAGAAATCAGGCAAGTTTCTGTGTATTTACGAAGCATTCCATCTGACTTTGGAAGGCACATTTGTGAAACTAGGAAGAAGGGAGGAAACGTGCCATACCAGAAAGTGATCACCAATAAGGAATGCGCGAGTCAACGCCCGCCACAGCTGTTATTTCCGAAGTGCATCACCCTCCGGCCGCCATTCCTCCCCGGCTATGTGGCACGGCTCTCCCCCGACCTTTGTCACCTGTTCCTCAGCTGGGTGGCCAGCGGGGGGTCGTTGTCCACGGTTTGTCCACATTCTTTCGGGTTTGACCTCCTTCGAGCCCCTGGTGCCCGTTCGAATTGGGTTGGGTTTGACATTCGAATGCAGTGCTGCCAACTTGGCCGTAGCGCAGTGTTAATGAATCAAGATGGACACCTGTTTTGTTTTTCTTGCTTGAAGAAAAAATATAAAATAATACTAAAGACTAGTAATTATTAGTCATACGACACTAGATATTGTCACAAAAAAATCTTTGATAGTTGGAATTGTACTTAATGAACTAGAATTTATCTAAAATTCCGAAAGGTTTGTAGTCTCCAAATTATTTGAAGCCCGTAGATAGTATCTTATTTCGATATTTCCACATTCCACACTTTACGTCGTGGGTCTTTTACATTTTGTTGCATTCAATGCAAACATCGAACTGTGTTGAAATGTTCAGAAACGTTTAGAATTCAAATGTCACAGGTTTTTATGCAAATCGTGCCACTTTTAACATAAATTTCGAGAGACGAATTAGAAACTGCTTAAGTTTTTTTGAAATTGCTATTTGGCATGGTTTTAAAGCATTTGTGATGCCAGAACTGAGTCAACAATATAAAAGGCATTTAAAAAATGACAATGTTTTTTTATGAACGAAATGAAGATAATGACTGGACAATTATCAATGTGCGTAAATTGTGACGTAAGGATAAGAGTATTTTTCCAGCGTAAAAACAATTAAGGTAAATCGAAAGAGCTGATCTTGAACAATATGACACTTTGACTCTCCTGTTTGTAGTATTGACCTTCCAAAGAGGTAGGCTACTACAAGAACAAAAATTATTTTTCACATTCACTCCTCGGGTATAATAATACTGAATGTTTCGCAGGAATTTGTGGACTAATGTTGCAAGACAATCGAGTTTTCTAGGCGGCTCTCTTTCGTAGTACAATCACAATTTTAGCGTGTAAAATAATGACGCTAATTTTAAATTTAGAAATGTTGTCAATTTGTTTGGGTGCTTACAAGAACTAACAAGTTTCGTTGTTTCCCGTTGAAGGTTTTCAGATTCCCAGAATTTACCTTGGCTTTTGAGCTTTGGACTTTTAATCTTCTTCTACATTATTAATACAAGAATGTCTTGTGTTACGTGCTTACGTCTTGTTAGCTGGGAAGTTGAACTTTTTCGTCCTTGCAGTAGGAAATTCCCCAAGTTGATCGTCACTGATAACCCTCCGGGCGCCACGACGACAGCCCTCCAATCGCGCGCAATTTATCGGAGCACTCGTCACAGGGCGAACAGTCACCGCCAGGAACACAGCGCCAGCGACCAAATGGTCCGACATTTTTCTCCTAACGACCCCGTCCCATTACATAAACACCATCTGAAAGATGCTAGCTTGGCAGGTGGGCCCGAGGTCGAAGCAGGTCGGTACCTGCGGCCCTGCTTCCCTCCTCTACCCCTACCCCCGACGAAACTTTTCGACCTGCGTCCTTGCCCTCGCGCCCCTGCCCCCTATCCCTTGCTCCCACCCACGCCTCGGCCCTCCGCCCCCGCGTCCCTTGTTTTGGAGGGTGTGCGTTCCTTTGTGCACTTCTCAGGGCTCGGAGACCCAGGCGCCATGCAGACAGTCTTCTGGTGCGTCGAATGTTTTTTGTTCGCCTTCGTTCCGGTTTCTATAAAATCTCGAATTTACACGCCGGTTTAGATTTAACAGCTAGTTCTGAGAGGTCGAAAATCAATTCTGCTTTTTATTTATTTTTTATCTTAGATGACATGATATTCATGCAATCTGTGCTATGTTTCTTCAGACTATTACTTTCGTGTAGAAACTGTTGAAACCAGTAAACCAATATAGTATGCATATTTAAGTACCATCGGATGCAAAATTCTACCTGCTTTCATCTCTTTTTTTATTTTATTAATTTTAGTTTTCTCTTCTCTACCTTGTTCATTGGTTCTAGTGACGTTCATAACAACTTTCTGCTCTTTCTAGCTATGTTCAATTTCTTTTTATTCTTCGTTTTTTCTTAGTAGTAAAGTCTCTGCAAATTTCAAATTCGAGTAAAATAGCAATATGCGGGTTTCTTCGCATGTCTCAGTCTCTACAAATAAAGACAATTTATTATTATTATTATTATTATTATT